TTGTTAATGAAGGGACCAGCTCCCCATTTTGGCAGCCATAACAGCCTAACACGTGCTTGCCTGACCTTGCCTTGGTCACTAGGAGGTCAGATGCCTGCCTCATAGCATGGAACCAATCAGAAGTTAGCTGGTGGTGCTATGCTTTACGGTTCTGGGTGTGCTTTACAGACAAGTGGACAGCAATGATGTGCAGAGCATAGCAATAGGCCCCTGGGAGGGCCTATGGGCCATAACAACCGGTTGACCAATCAACACAGGGCAAGCCCTCCAAGCCTGGAGGCACACCAATCCTGAGCCTGTTCGTACCCCTAGACACTCCCCTTATGCTGTCCTATAAGATCTCTATCCTGTGGCTTCTTGGTGTCTTTCCCAGCTATCCACCATGGTGGATGGATGAAAGGCCCGAGATAACATGGGATTAGCTCATTAAACAAATGCAATAAAGCCTTGTGCTGTTTGCATCAAGCTTTCACCTCTGCCTGGCGATTGGGGTCGCTGCAGTCCTGGCTGAGATCCTGGGGGTCTGAGCCACCGGGGGTCTTTCAGTTAATACCTTTGCTTTTTTCTGTAAATATCAATGTTTATAAAATAACATAAGTCTTTTTTTTATATATATAAATAGCTGTAAGTTACTTATCAGGAGCTATGGCAGCTGAACTTTTTGTCTGTGGGGTTCCCTGGGCCAGGATTAGCCAGTCAACAGACATGCACACACCTGATCTAAAACATCAAATTGCCCAACATTTATATTTTTCCCAGTAGTCAAGGTACTTGTTGCTAAGGGATCGATGTATCAAATGACTGTCATTTATTTTCAAGAAAACCACAGGCTTACCTACTACCTTCTCCCTAGTCTCTTCCAAACTCAGTTATACATCTGTATACTTGTATTTAACTTGAAAGTTAGACAACTCACACCAGCATTTACAAACAACTTCACACGTACATACAGAATGCTAGTATTCAGGCATCTGTACTGTCCTGTTCTTGGGGTTCTGACAGGACACACCCTCAGCTGCAGCCACTAAGAGTACCACCTGTGCACATTCACTATGTTCCCCTTTAAAAGGGCCCTGCCTACTTCCCATCCTTCTCCTCCTCTCTGTGCCCCTCCCCCCTCTTCCCTTTCTCCTCTCTCCTGTTGCTCCTGTCTCCCCGATTCCCTTTCCCCTTTTGATGATCCCTTTCCCTAAGTAAACAAACAAAAACCCCCTCTGCTTGAACCCTGTGGCATGGTGTCTTTCTGTTGCGTGCTGCTTTTCTTAAATTACAACTCTGAATTCTAGCAATGTTTGGAGATAATGTTTTCTCTCCACCTCACAAATGAGCCACCAAGGTTAAGGGTCAGCCTGCCTGGCATCATTCCTTGATGCCAGGACTCTTGTCTTGGCCTGGCTTGGGTTCTGGCTGCACTGCTTAGGGCAAGTTACTAGACTTCGGTGAGTTATGACTTTCTCAGTGTCTACCTTAAAGACGACTGTAGACAATTAAGCTGAAGGAGATGGCAAATGAATAGGGATTCCCAAGGGGGTCTCTCAGGCAGCATCTGCCTATTTCCTGGACCTGGTTTCCCCTCTAGGCACTGTTCCCCTCCCTCTCTTGAGCTTTACTCTTAAGACATTTCTCCACATGTGGGACCAGCATTAGAAGAGCTTTGGGGCTTCTCAATGTGCTTTTTCCTGCCCACCTTCCAAATCCTCCCAGTGGGACAATCTCCCTAGTCTCTTGTTTCTAAATATGGGGCAAACATTGTAGGTGCTGTAGGCAGACACAAACCCTGGTAGATCTCACTGTTCCCCTTTTATTTCCCTCCCCCAACCTTCCCCAAAGTTCTACCCAATGGCCAGCCCGGTTCACAGCACCTGTTGATTGTCACATGGGCTCAGGTGAGCTGAGAAACCCCTCTCCCTGTTAATTCTGCCTTCTGTGCCTCTTTCTGCCTCTCGTCCACCTGCAAATGGTTCCTCAGCTTCCTGAAGATTTTTTTTTTTTCTAAACACTTTTTCTCAGGGGCTCTGAGATGCAAAACTGTTTAGGAAGGTGGGATTTAATAAGGCTCAGATGTTTTTTTTTTAAATTATATTAACTATGGTGACCCTGCTTCATACATCTTTAAAGTGCCCTCTTGTTGAATGAAACATGGTTGAAACCACTGCTCTACACAGGTCTCACTGCTATTCCTGGTGGGTTGGGTCACATCTCCATGGCAGTTTGGCCCTTCCCAACCAGTTTTCACAATGAACTCTTCCCTCCCAGCAACCCCCAGGCCTGCCAGGCTTGTTCCCAGCTCCCGGGTTTCTTTCTGCCCCACTCCCCCAACCCTTGTCCTTTCTACCTCTGTATCAAGGCCAGCTTCAGTCCTCGTCTTGACATCATTCTGGATTTCCACAGCCATATCACCTCCGTGACATGGATGTGTGACTGAGGGAAGGACGGGATGGGAACGCCCCAGTCAGCACCACCCTGCTAAGAGCAAAAGCCCAGGCAGTGCTCAGAGACACCGGTGGGTCCAATGCTCTCTACAGATCCATGCTACACAGGAATGACATTCTCTCTCCAGTCACTGACTTAAAACTACAGCATGCCTAAAGACTGTGGCTAAATAAACATGGCTGACCAAGGCCAGACCCTACGTCACTAGGGAGACTGCCATATGACAAGAGAAGCTCACCATCTGCTGCTTCACACTATGCTGTCACAGGTGTCTGTAGGCTTACTGTTTTCAGCATCGTGGTATTTCTCTTTAAGATTTGGGTGTGTACAATTGTCTCAAAACTAATCTGAGTTTTTTTGTTTTTTAAGATTTTATTATGTATACAGTGTTCTGCCTGCATGTATGCTTGCACGCCAGAAGAGGGCACCAGATCTCATTACAGATGGTTGTGAGCCACCATGTGGTTGCTGGGAATTGAATTCAGGACCCCTGGAAGAGCAGCTAGTGCTCTCATCTCTCCAGTCCCTTACCTGTGATTAAAAAAAAAAAAAAAAAAAAAAAAAAAAGCAAAAGAAATCTCCACCTAACAAACCTCTCTAGAGAATTAGGGGCTAACTTCTGCTTCATTAAAGCAATTGCAGTATAAAAGAGATTTCTCTATTATAGGAATTATTATAGAAATAAAATAAACCAGATTCAGAGAAACAGATAATTACGTTTTTATCTTCTATGTAGAATCCAGATTTAAAAAAAAAAGACTTGAAAAATAAACGCACAAGAGGGTAAAGGCATATAAGAAGGTATCAGTTAAGTATGGACAAAGTGCCAGATGTGCACATTTGAGAATGTCATAATGAAACTTGTTTTGTACAATGAATACATTTATATAAACAGATAAGCAACTGAACCATTTAAAATACTCTGCCACAAATTGCCTTAATTTCCCTCTAAAACCCACTACAAAATTGTAGGAAGACAAAAATGTTAAGTTTCTTCATTTAAGCCAGGGCAGTTAGGAACCCCAGAGCAAACTTCAATTTAACTTGTCAGTTGTGACTGGAGTCCAGCTCCCAGCCAAAAACCTGGCAGATCTCATAGGGTTTCTGTACACCTGGCCTGGGGTCCAGCCAATCTCTGGCTACCCCTGAGGAAGTCAGTAAGGAAATCCAGACTGCCTCCCTGCCCCAAGCCATTTGCATAGCAGCCCTCTTAGTCCAGGTACTTTCACCCAGAGGTCCTGTTGCCATTTCCTCAACCAAAAGTTTTCTCAAGCACCTCCAATGAGGCTCCATGGGGAAGAGCTTGTGGATACTTTACCCTCCATCTTGCTGACTGGAAATGGATTCCAAAATGGACCAAAGAACTCAGTATGTGGTGAGTATTGCTTGTTTTATTGCTATGACAAATACCTGACAAAAGGCACTCCAAGGAGAACGGGTTTATTTGGCTTGGTATTTGAGGGCACAGGACATCATGACAGAGAAGGCATGGCAGCAGGACCTCCAGGCATTCAAAGTCAGGAAGTAGAGGGGGGGATGCTGGCATTCACTTTCTCCTTTTTAGTCCCTCTGGGATGCTGACCAACCAGTGCTGTCTATATTCAGTGAGACTTTTCCTATTTAACAAACATTCCTAGAAGCACCCTCACAGGCAGGCCAAGTGGTTTGTCTGTGGGATGTTAAACTGCATCAAATTGACACGGATAAGCATAAATGTATGTGTGTGTGTGTATGAGCCTATATGACATATATATTATATAACAATTCAGACTTTAAAAAAAAATCCTGTCCATCTGACATGGATGAGCCTTGAGGATATTAACACTAAGTGAGAGACACTGCACACAATCTCACTTATCTGTGTAGTCTATGAGAGTTGAACTTGGAGAAACAGCACAACAGTGGGGGTTGGTGGGATAGGGAGAATGAGAGGGCCTGGTAAAGGGTGAGAAGTCCCAGAACTATGGGAGAAGGGAAGAGTAAGTCTACACAGCTAACGCAGAGCACGTGCATCTTAGGAGTCTGCTTTTCATTCCACACACAAAGGGGGAGCCATTTGAGCTGATGGATGTGTTATTTCCCTTGATTGCAGTAAACATTTCATTAAGTACACCAAAATACTCTATTGTATACCTTACATATATGACTAAAAATCATAAAACCCAAACTCCAAACTGATCCAAAAATAGGCTCAGCCTCACTACTGTCCTGTCCAATGACTGGAGCTGACCTGCCCTCACTGGCTGCAGCCTCACCAGCTCTGGAGGCTCGGAGCTTGTTAGCTTTGCTGAGCTCCTGCTGCAACCCATTCCCTCCAACCTTAGACGTCTTAGCTCTCAATTCTAAAAGCACACTGCAAGAACGACCAACTGAGTGGGACGAGCCTGGTGCAGCAAGTCCTACTCTTGGCCTAGCATTGATGAGCAATGGTCTTGACTACTTCATCCTTCAAACAGAATCCTATCTGCATAATGGGGTTACTAACTTTCAAGTCCATATGCCAAGATTTTGTAAATTTCACACCTATATTTTGAAAAGGTTAAAAGTAAAGAAGAATGAAACCAACATTATTTTTCAGTATTTTTAATGGTAATCACAACAAAATAGTACTTAAAAATAAGTCATGGTGTAACTTAAAAATAAGTAAGTCACAGTCAAAACAATGTCTAAATGTGCTGCCCACCCTTAGTCAGTGTACAGGAACATGCTCTCTCCCGAGCTAGGCACACAGACACAGGTGTTCCCGGCTCTCCTGTGAAAGCCTGACTTAGCGCTTCTTCCAGGTGAACTTTCTTCGGGCACCCTCCTGGCCTGGCTTCTTCCGTTCCCTGATCCGTGGATCAGGAGTAAGTAGTCCAGCTGCAGTATGAACAGAAGTCTTTGTAAGGGTGGGAAACGAAGGCTGCCTAGCAGACAAGGGAGTGAACTGCATGACATTCACAGCAACTGCTATTAGAAAAAGCTGGAGGCAGACAACCAAACCAACAATTCCCATTAACAAGGCAGGCTGTTCTCACTCTTTTGAGATACTTTCCAATTTCAGACACAAACACCAGCAATGTTTTATAAGTCTTTTTTCTGCATCCTAGAATTATGACTCTTTCTTTGGTTCAACAATACTGTTCAACTTAGGCTGAAACTGCTCTTCTGTGGCCAGCCATTATTTACTGTGCTGGAATGTATTCTTCATATCTCTTAAGAATGACCCTGAACCTGTGATTCCCACAGCTGTCTCGAGGTGCTGGGACTATGGGTGTATGTCACCTCGCCTGGGAAGGAAGTCCGAGGAAGCTTGGACACCTTTAAACAGCACAGGCAAAGGCTTACATAGAAATAAGCAGCCTAACATACTGGAACAAAGAAGTAGCTTGCTAGAATTTCTGTGAAAATGACACTCTTGGTGTTTTAGTTGAGAAGTTGAGTAAGTTCAGTGTTATTCTTTGGGTATAAGCTATTTGTCTAGAGGAACAGTCACTTTTAGATGGAAGCTGCTGCTTGTCTAGTCACCAGGGCAATCAAGCTTGGAGGCAACTCACACCTGAGCTACTTTCAGCATATGGTCCACAGGGAACGTTAGCCATGATCACAGACACCAGGATCGAACCAGCACTTACAGAAATGTATACACTGACCACTGTTTTTACTTGTCCTCTTGTTGACAGGGTCTCACTATGTAGCTCTGGCTGACCTGGAACTGGCTTTGTAGACCTGGGATTAGTGGCAGGCTCTCTTAAACCTGTTCCTTTTACTTTTGTAACACTAGCAGTTTTCTTATTGGTGCAGGGCTTACAGTGCTGTGTAGTAGGGATTCATGGAATAAAATAGTTATTTTGAATGGGATACACATATGTCCTACATTAAATTCAAAGTCATAAGCACACAGCTCCAAAGAGCACACTGGTTAAGCCAAACCTAGGTAAACCTCTTCCACTATCTACTTATTTTCGAAAGTTGGTAAGTCTGGAAAAAATGGCAAATCATTTAAAAGCAAGCAACATTCCAACAGAAAATTAAGTAGCCTAAGCCATAAGCAGAGTAGAGAGACATATAAAGCGCCGTACGCTCTGCGAAGGGGGAAGTTGAAAGCACTAAGTGACTCCTGAGAGATGCTGCATCTGCTGCACGTACAGCTCTTTCTCCCCGTAGATGGTGCAAAGACCACCTTGAGCGTGAATGGCTCCTACATGTTGAAGAAATTTCCTAGTGCAAGAGTGAAGTCCATTTGTTGTCCCACTGTGAGGAGATTCCTCCATTCATGCCCAGGTAATAGGGTCACAAAGTGGAATGAAAAAGAAAATGAAATCAAATTGTAATGTCACAGTGGAAAAAAAGGAAAACCCCCAATAATGTTGCAAAGTTGACCTGTCATTAAATTATTACTGATTCTTATGATAAAGTAACTAAACAATCAATGTGTTTCAAATAAAATGGAGTTATACTCTGCTTTAGCTACACAAAAGATCATGATTTAGGTGAAAATAATTCCTGCTGGCCTTGGGACTGCATGTTTTAGCAGGGACAATGCTGGGAGGGAGAACCCTTTCTTGTCCTAATCTTGGTTTGCAGAAATCCAGCCTGAAAATGACATTTGTGGTTCTGGAGAATGGAAGGAGCAAGTAGTATGCTGAGATCCCAAGAAGAAGTTTTCTCACACTAACATAAGTAACATCAACAAGGGCAGGAATTTTTTTTTCAAAAAAAAAACACACACACACACACACACACACACACACACACACACACACACACACACACACACACACACACACACACACACACACACACACGAAAGCACCTACCTTGTCTCATCCATTCAACCTCGTCCTCGGTGATGAAGCTGCACAAAGCTCTGGCCATCGCCAAGCGTATGGCTCCTGCCTGCGCTGATCTCCCACCCCCGGAGACTGTGCAGGTTACATCGTGTTTCTCCAGCCGGTCCAGGAAGTGGAAAGGGAACATGAGCTGTTCTCTAAGGCACATCACAAACACATGGGTTAAGCCTCCTGTGAAGACCCATGATTTCATAAACCACAACCCTGGGAATAGTTATAATAACCAAATGATGCCTGCCAGTTATACTAGCCACACTTCTCCATCAACTGGACACCAAGACATAGAAACACAGATCCTCCTGAGGTTTAGAATGCTTGGCTTTTATGCAAGGTTTTTCATTTATTTTTCAGTATGGACAGAGTAGAGCAGCTCACTGACCTTACTGTTCACCAAATATCTCATGAGAATCTTGTAAGTTGTGAAAATGACCTTGTGAGGAAGTCTTACAGCTGAGGAACTCTATTAACTCCCTGACTCCAGCCTTTGGATTCAATGATCAGGTATAAATTAATAGGCCTTCTGAAGCAATGTTCAAATGCCATTTGGCTTTCCTAAATGAGGTATATTCTAATATTTCTGTATAATGTAAGATGCTCATCTCCATAATGCTGCTTTAAAGTTACCAAAACCTCAGTGAACATGCCTCCCTCATCCAAAATCACACGTTCCTACTGGAGTTCTCTAAGACGCAAACACAGTCAGGCCTGCCCCCTCAGGACCAGGGAGCAAATCAAAAGTAGTCACCAATGAGCAAGCTACACACAAGCATGGTCCTGTGCTTCCTCCCATTCAGTGAACAAGCACCTGCTGAACACTAAGATGCCAGTATGATGCCCACTGTCATCTCTGCAAAAGAGCTGGATTTTGTTATTTTGTCTTTACCTCTGCTGAGTTTATTTTATTTACCCAAGGCCTTGTGTGCATCAGGCAAACACTCCATCCCTGCTCTATGCATTTCCTGAACAACATAGAACAATCCATTTATATTGCACTTGCTTGCTTTGTCTGTCACCACAGCTTCTAGACATCCAAATGAAGTTGATTTTACAGCTAGCTGAGAGCTGAATACAGCTGGAGATTAATGCATCTTTTCACACTAAGAAAAATAACTGCTTTAAGTGGACTCACATAGGCACTCCAAGGCCAAGGCAAACTATGTTTGTAATGATGGGCCAATCCTACAACAGACATAAACCTATCCTGCCTTTCTGACAGAATACTTAAGGCAACCAAACAAAACCAGCCATATTTTAAGATTAACACTACTGTAAGCAGTAGTATTATTATGGAAACTAAGAAAACCAGAGACTGATAACCAAATTCTGCCACTGCAGGGCAAAGTGGGACTGCCCCATGCATCCACTGAGGAAATCCCTACATCACCTGACAGGAAGTGAGTTTGGGATGGAAGTGAAGCTACAAAAGAGGCTTCTAGATAACCATTTGTTTGGTATCATACATATTTACCTGTCTCAATTCTCAAGGTCTTAAGATTCCCAAATATATGCTTAAATAGTCACCGGGCCAAAATTCAGAAAAGAATTGCATACTACAATTTCTGGAGCTACATTAGAGTAATGGAGGCAGACTGGTCAGGGTAAGCAAGAAGAGGGCACATCTGCAGAGCTGGAAGCTGGTGGGACACTGTAAAAGACAAACTGTCTAGAAACCTCACCCCAAAGTCTAACAATGAGCACCAATGGTACCACTGCTACTGACTGAACTGCACTGGCCTGTCCACCAGTCTGTGCTAACAGGTCCATCACAGGAAAACACTCAACAACTCAGTGCCTCTAGTCCTTCTTTACAAGAACCATACTTACTTTGTTCTGGCTGTACAAATTGGCATAGCTAAAGGATACATAAATAAATGATTTCTTCATTCATATGTTCTCTGAATGCTACTCTTCTGGTAACCAAATACAGACAGTGATTTTCATGTAGCTGCTTTAAGTGCAAGCATGTTCCTTCTACTACATGGTTAGCATGTGTTAGTATCATTAGTACCAGGGAGTACTGCTTTCCAAAAAGGTTATCAACTTTTCTTGTATCCTATAGTACCAGACATGGAGTAATCTACCTGTGCTGTAAATAAGAGCAAATGGAAAAAAAAAAAAATTCTGACAACACTGGGAAGGCAACATTGCCGGCATCTTCATGACCAGCTTTCTGTTTGTGTAAAAACAGCAGGCCCTACAGAAAAGACCCCAAAGGGTGACTAGGTTCAGTGACTTTAAGACAAGCAGCAGCTCAGGGACCATCACGCTCAGTTCCCTCTCTCCAGTAACCTCGAAGCTCTGTGGGTAAAGTTACACAGCTAAGAAACAGTTCCCTGATCCTTTCTGCTGCCATCTCCTATGGGTCAGTGGTCTCTTCACTGCTGACTTATAATTACTAGCCCTGCTTCTCTAGATGGAAAGGCTGGTTCATGGCTAGCAGGGCAGCCCTTAGTTGCTACAGCTATTTTAAGTCAAAGAGAGGGTCTGAATGTCCCTTTCCACTAAGATCAGCACTAGGCATCCCAAGCAGATGTTCTCTGACAGCAGGAATCATTTTCGATGGCACTGACATCTTTTCCATGCTTTGGACAAGATGGACCACAGAAGATGCTACTGACTGGGTTCAAACCACAAATAGAAGCTGCCAGGAGTGGTGGACACACCTTTAATCAGAGCACCTGAGAGGCAGAGGCAGGTGGATCTCAGTGAGATTGAGGCTTGTCTGTGTCTCACAGAAAGTTCCAGGCTAGCCAGAGCTACGCACTGAGACCTTGCCTCAAAAGGGGGTGGTTGATTAAGATTTAGGGTATAACTGAAAGCCAGCTCAAGATATGGTTGAGATTTGCTGTTAAATCATCAGAAATTATGTCTGAATGAACAGCAAGTGACAGACAGGCCACCCATCAAATACCACTCCTTTCTGTCTCTAGTGAGTCACCACTGTCCTATGGTGTGGGTTTCTCTGGCTTTTCCTAAGCTTCCTCTATCTAGTCCAGTGCAGACGATGACAGGGTGAGTTCAATCAGTATTACATGGAGTTAAGAACAAATTCCTTCCTGACACAGGAACACAATGCACATTTCCTGAGGTAGCAATTCTGTCATTTCAGAAGGGCCCCTACTCCCTACACAAGTGTGAGAGGAGCTACAGTCCCTTTGCCCTTAAACGCCACCACATATTCAGGAAACACAGAGTAGAACCTAGGAAATAATCACGCAGCTTCTGCTATGCACGGACCCAACAGCAACTATGGGAACAATAACTACCGTCAAGAAGAGCTCTACATGGCGGTTCACTTGAGAGCTCCAAGGGGAGGAGAGTTAAGGGGCATGAGACATTTAATGCCTATTGATGACAAATGTCTGCTTCTCTGTGGATAACACACAAAGCACCGGGAATGGAGCAAAACTTGTGTTCTGACTTTACACATCCCAGGTTTCATTGCTTCCTCTATATATGTACAATTAACTTCCCCAAGCAGGAGAAGTCGAAAGAGGCAGGAAGACCTTTTCTAATGCTCACAATTAGGAGAAGCGAGCCTAAGCCACAGAGATCTGCTCACACCTCCCTTGCTCCTTGGCCTCGTCAATTAAGAAGCCAGGTTGCTTTCTGGGGTTGCTGCTTTCTGTGAATACCTGTCTTCCCGTCAGAAGGTGATATGTGCTTTCCGTACGTTTTGGCATACTCTGCACTTCAGAATGTGAGGTATGCCTCACAATATTCAACTTCCAGCAGGATCTGACAAAATGAGTCAATTAGTGGGGGCTTCTAGGAATGTTTTTCTAAAAACCTGGAAAACTACCTAGAAAAATAGCAGTAGTTTCCTGCTATTTTGTAGTTTGTTGGCGAAGAGAAATAATCCTTCAGATAAACAATCAGAAAACTGCGGTCTTCTAAATGATGATGAATTATAAAGCATGCTTTCCTTAAAAGCAGGGATCACACCACACCTGTCCTGTGTGACGGGAAAGTAAAGCAGGTAATCAAGTCCGTTCACCCGGATCTTCCCACTTCCGTGCTTGTAAACAACCGCCTGTGCTGTGGCGCTCTTCCTCCTGCCTGCAGGACAGAAAGGCGGCAAGTGAGTTCAAGACTCTGCTGCAGCATGCCCCGAAGACCACTGCTCCCTACTGCATAAGCCCACAGAGAGGAAAGTTCTAGAACCACAAAAGCAGTCAAAAGGAGAGGGGAACTCACACTGCAGCTGAGGTAATAAAGCCGACTGGGAGGTAAGTGTGCTCTTCAATTCCATTTTAGAAACACAAATGATTTCAAATTTGTTTCAAGGCCTCACATTCGTTTTGCTACAAAAACAGCAGCCAACTCACATTGTTTCTTATAATTAATAAAAATGAATCAACACAAACTTTTAAAACTATGTGGACAACAGAATGAAACATAACTGAAGAGAAATGAAAGCAATCCTTGGGAAAGGTGACCTGACAAAGGAATGAGGTTAAAAATTCAAAACTGTAAATATATTTAACAGGCCAATTTTTGAAAGAGGGATCATGTCTAACATTTTCACACTCCAGGGAAATTCAAGTTGGGGACTCAAATTTTTGCGTTACGTGTTTACATCTGAAATGCAGACTCACTGAGCATTTGTAGCTTTTGAGAACCCTTATCACAAATATTCTGCTGATTCTATCAGTTGAAAACAAAATAGTTTAATGATTGCATGGCCGTAGACCCACACTTACTCCTGCAACAGTATGGGTTCAGGGTTTTTTGTGTGTTTGGTTAAAAACAACAACAACAACAAAACAAACAACAACAAAACTCCAAGAGAATGGTAAAATAAGGAAGGCCAATGTAACAGTACCAACACCCAACAAAACAAATAGGTACTGGAGAACAACTGCATAGGAACAATTAGTTTTGAGTCTTCACTGGACTGGAGTCTCTCCGTGCAATGTTATTACCTTCGCTGGTGCTGAATGCCTGGCCTTGCTCGTCATACTGCACGGGCTCAATCACCTGCTTTTTGGACTGAATAGTTACACTTTTGCGGAACCTCTTCACAAATTCTTCTTCAGCAGGACCATAGGGCAATGTCAATAACTTTTCCAGCAGTCGAATGAACTGTACATACTGCAGACAATAGATTTCATTAGAAGAAGCAAGTGTAATTGCATTTGCTAAAGTTTTGCTATTTTTATATACTTGATCTTTCCAATGCTGCTTTCCTGATGAATTTTGACAGAATGACACTTCTGCATCTTCATGCTGCTTTTAAAACAGCATGCAGATGCATCACTTTCTTTGTAGATCTTCCGTGCTTAAGCTTTCCTCTTAAAAAACAAAGGGATTTATCATTCAAAAATATCAATTTTTCTGCATTATGATTATGAAATTGATATTTAAATTCTGTTTTCAAAAATATTTAGATGATCTTCAAAAGTACAGCTTCTATTCTGTCAATAGAACTGCATCAAAAGGAACATTAGAAATAATTTCCAGCCAGTTATAAATAGCAAAAGAGTCTGATTTTGAGAAAATGTTCCCCTTAAGTTATATTTCATAATACATTTGGCAAATATATTTTTGGCTGTTCAAGCTGTGTTACTTTAATGTTTATGATTTCCTTTAAAACCGAACAATCAAGCTATTTAAAAATTCAAGAGATACTTGACTTAAAGGGCAACCTCTTGAAATAAATTATCCTTGCTACTCTGTGCATTTTTTTTAATAGTTCTTGAACATGTGATTAGAAAGTAAACAACTTGGTATTAACCCCTTAAAATTAGAAGCCAGAATAATCACTCTAGAGTGTCTGTGGAGAAGGAAACAACTATACTTAAGAGCCTTAGTTAATATGGATCGTGGAGCCCAGTTTTTGATGACTTATTTGTTCCCTGCCAACCCTAAAAGTCATACCCAACTTTGCCACACTTGCCTTTCCAGTGGATATCCTTCAATGATAATGTGAAATATTTAAGAATCTCATCAGTCTGATTATTATTGAAACAACTGTTCAAATACAGCTTCCTGGGAGACCAGGAGAAAAGGAAGGCATGCATGTTCTAAGTCAGTGTGGAAAACTTAGCACAACCACAGCCCATGCTGCTAGGCCTTTTCCTCTTCCTCTCAGTCACACTGCTGTGTCCTTGGACTTAGCTACTCTCACAATTCCTTCACTGCACATGCACAGCTTTGTTCATGAACTAGGCTATGGTTCAGGAAGCCACACACCACTCCCACTACCCTCAGCTGTATTACCACAGACACAACTTCCAGGACTTCTGGTAATGCCAGGCATTCTGATTATCACATACACTCTGTTTTGTTTTTATAGCTATATGCCTGTATTAAAGTCCTTAGAATATTCCTCAAATGGAAAAACAACAAAAGTCCCCGAATTTCACAAAATCAAAGTGGCAGCTGGAAAGCAGGAAGAAAAGGAAATGATGCATTCACTGAAAAAAACAGAAATCTTTCCAATTCAATTCACACACAGCAGGCCTCAGCAGTTAAGATCCCAGCAATCACCTCCAGGTCTGCCACCAACCAAATTCCTGACACTTTGTCTAAGGAAACTGCAACTTTCCGAAGCCACTAACTTCTCCAGTATGAAATCGGAACAAGCAAGGGACACAATATAAAACCTGTGGTGGCAAGGAACCAGCAGTACTAGCCATTGCCACAGCAGGACCTGTGAGTATAAATCTTCTCTATTTTACATCTAAATAAGTAATACATTCAACTTCCCTGATCATGCTGGGCTCTATTAGAATACTCAACACAATAAATACAATTAGGACCTAAAATGGGTTCATGAACTTTACGGGGCACAGATTCACAGAGGGAATTTGTTTACCTTGGATTCCAGGGAGACTCTCCAAAGATTCTGTCTGGTCTGGAGTTGAGGCTTAGAGCCAGCATTCTAAGTGTCTGTACACAGCTGATGTACAGCTCCCAAGATAAAAACCACTGCCCTCATAGCCCCGGCACATGAATAAGGTAAGGCAGGAAGTTACACACTGCATGAAGGTATCCATGTATTGTATCCGTTTCTACTTGATGGCTCCCTGCATTCATCATTAGCTTATAACATTAACTACTGGCCTTGCTGAAGAGAACAAAACCAGCATCTGCTGTACTCCCTAAAACAACAGCAGAAAACATGAGGGCACTTACAAAAGGAAAAGGAGGATCTGGAGACTAGATGTGTCACTTTCCTGATGGCAGAAATCAACAAGGGCTGTATGAGAACAAGGGTAAGTGTCTGGGGAACACCTGGCTCTGAGGAGCATCACTATTAGGATCTTAATACAGCAATTGTCTGCATTCTTATGACACAGGTCCCCTTAAATTAAAAAGATTAATTACTCACATCTTGATCTGACAGTTTTTCCACTAACATTTCTTCTAGTTCCTCCTTAATCAGCCATCTGCTGCCAATCAGGTCTCTGTTAAAATATCACATATATTTTTAATTAAGCATGCAATTAGAGTTATATCACAAAAGATCCTACATACAGTAGCAATTCATGATGTGCAGACAAAATTTTATGTTATTCAGGAGCACTCCTATATACACCATTTTGGAGAAACACTTCCTTTTCCTAATCCACTTTAGAAATCACTGTGAGCAAATGTTTTGTCTGAAGAGTTAAATGTGTTACTCTGAAACTCATTTAAAAGCTAGCAAATTCCTTAAAGCTTAGGATTGTGCCTGTGTAAGTTACTAAGAAGACACAAAGGGTACAGTGTTTCCCTATCAACCAACTGAAGTAGTAATAAAGTCCCAATAAAAAGACCAAAACAACAGCCACATGCTTAATAAGTTGAATAAAATGTCTTGAACAAAACAAATACATGAGTAGGTCTCTGGAAAGCTGACACACAGGTTGATGGATCTTATCAATTGGCCAAACAGGAAAACAAACCACTAACACATGCTGAAGAGGTGTGCAGCTAGCTATATGCAAAACACTGAGGACATCACAATCCAAAACAGTGATTAAATCCACAAGTTTGGAATGGGGTAATGTAAAAATAAGCTCAGTATGTTTCCTCTTAAATAAAAATCAGCTATTTAGAAACTTAACCTTAGTGACTAATGCTGAAATCCTGTACAAATCTTAGACATCATGCTAGCAATGAGAGACAGCTTACCTGGGCTCAGTTTTCCCTGAAAGTGGACCTCTGTGGGTTTCTAGCTGGAGGACCTTTCCATACACTTCCTAAAGCAAATAAAATACACAGCTAAAATGAGAATGATGGTACAGTATTCCTGATAACATATTTTATCATTTTCCTGAGCACCACTTATTCTAAGTGCTCCCTCCTCAATCTAGCTTCAGGGTAACAAAATGTGTTTTAATAAAACGTTATCATCTGAACCAAGGGGCAATGATTTCAATGAGAATTTACAACACTTTAACTGACTTAAAAATGCCTGTAGCAACTTGTAAATTTCAAAAACTGTAAACTATGTCTTTTCCTTGTAGTTTCACATATAGGATACAAATTTTCCTTAAGAAAAAAAAATCCTAACTTACATAGCAATATGCCCTTTATACGAAGACCCAGTGAACTTAAGGCATCTTTTACTAACTACGCATCTAACATTTAATCTTACAATCAGGTTTTAAAAGCCTGTTGACTGTGGTTAGGATACTTTTAGCTGGGACTAAACTCCCATTCTCCCTTTTGCTATGCAAGTGCTCTGCCATTGAGCTTCTCGGGCAGCTAACGTACATTAGGGGAAAACTCCACATCGGTAGCAGATCATAACATTTTCAGCACACTGGTTTCTATAAAGTAGTTCTCAACACTCCCAACAGGTAAATCCTTCCAAGAAAGGAACCTTCCTCACATGTAGCAAGTGGACAGACATAGCATGTCAGTGTGCAAGTGGCAACGTCTGAGCTGTGCTCCAGGAAAAGAATGAGTCAACTAGTTCTTGGATTTGAGACTGCAGTGGCCAGAGACATGGCTTTCAAACATAGACAGGGATATGTAACTTATGAGAACACCAACATGGTCAGAATACACCTTCCTTTCTTTGAAAGGGTTTCTTTAATTTCTATAGTAACCAAGGCAACTATTATAACACTAGTTGACCTTCCTCTTAGATGAATTTCAAGTCAAAGTTAAGCTGGTAAATTAACCATTTCCAATGGCTTTCTAGAAGTTTTCAGTTTTTTTCTAAATTGTATTTATTATTGTGTATACATTTCATGGTCTGTATATGGGTGCACGTGTGGAGGTCAGGGGATGCCTCTGTCGAGCCTGCTCTCCCCTCTCATTTCCACATGGGCTCTAGGGATTGAACTCAGCAAATGCCTTCACCCCCAACTCATCCTGTCAGTCCAGTTGTCACTTTAAGTCTATTTTTCTATGAACTCTCTCACTGTGCCATTTCCTCCTGATGTTGTTTATACCCATAACTACACATGATTCAAATAAAGAAATGCAAAAGAAAGCATGACAAGTGTGCATCAAATGCCAAGCCGTGAGTTCCACTCACTGATGCCAAATGTCTGGACTGGGTGAAACCCAGCAACCTGCTGCTCCCTGCCCGGGCTTCTTGAGCAGGAGGTTCTAGGCCAGGAGTCCAGAGCCAAGCATGCAGGGAGCCTTGATGCTGACCTACACTCCTAGCTGCATTCACCATTCCCAACAAGAAAATGTGTGCAAAGAACTTAACATAGTGCTTGGCCTATAGCTGTGGCCAAAAAATGCTTTCAGAGTCAGGTAAGTGGAATCACTGTGTTGGGACTCCACTTCCATGCATTGTCTTTGTTGTTAGTGAAAGAAACCACTGTGTTGGGGCTCCACTCCATGTAGTCTCTCTGTTGTTAGTGTAAGAAACAGCTCTTTCAAGTCTACCTGTGGTTAGCTAAAAACAGCAAGCAGTTCTCTGGGAAGTCAATTCTATAGCTTTAATTCCCTGAAGAGATGTGGTCCGATTTGCATAGAAAAATCCTTGAGGGCATAAAATATGCCAGGAACTGTCAACATCACAGATTATCACTGGTAGCGTCTTGTATATTGTTACATTTCCACTTAATTTTTAAGGGACACTAGAGAATCAGAATGACCCCACCTATACTAAGCTTATATACTGTACTTAATAGTGTAATTTCAAATATGACAGGAATAACCCAGATGTGAAATGCTGAATCATTAATCACAGCTATGATTAATATTTCATAAAATCAAAGCAAGCCTATCCACCCCTTGTGCCATCAGATTTCCATAATGTATGAGTCAAATTTAGAAGGTGCCTTAATTTGAAAATACCAGATGCTCAGGTTGAGGAAAGAAATTCTTAAACTAAAAAACCCTTTTTGGAGCCTGAGCACTATGAATCTCAGTACCCTTCCAAAATTTGTTTGGGTTATACTAATCATGTGGAAATTCCAATTTTAGGAAGGGTAAACAAATAATAGTTTATTGGAGGGGCAGCATAGGAAAAGTCAATTGCATTTGGTATACAACATAGTAAGTAAGTAATAGTAATTGCTATTTGAGATAGTTCAGTCCCTGGCAGTTCATAATTTGTTACAGAATCACAGAGAAATCAACTTAAGTAATAACCACCTCAAGTGTTTTGGCCACTGGTGTAAACAGAATCATATGAATTAAACACCTATGTAATTCAGAGAGGTTTCAATGTACCTCAAGGTGCAAGTGGCATGTTTCTATTGCAGAACCCTGCCACCCCTCTGTGAATGGTCTATCTATCAAAAAGGCCATCCAACATAAATGGCAAGAATTCTCACTTCAGGTCCTATAAGCCACTCTGGAAAGCACACTGCCAAAAGCAAGGACACCAGAGTGCTTAGGACTCACATGCCACAGACTTTTTACTTTGCAAATTAGAGCCATACATTGTAATATTTGTACCACCACAAAAGAAATAATCCCATCAAATTAACAAAGGCAGCAGGTTGAATCCTGTTGTTAAAACACTGTTTCCTAACTGTGCACTTTGAGTATATAAGGTATACAATAGTGATTATTCATATATGAAGAAATGAACAGTAAAGATATCTCTAGACTGCGGAATTAACTCCTGTTGCCAAGAAGTCTTAAACCAACATGTATAAAAATATAACTCGGCACAGTATAGGGTTAAAAAAAAATACTTCACAGTCCTTAAACAGTTACTCGGTAACAGTTATTTTAATTTCATTTTTAAAAGACAACAAGACAAGATTATATCCAAGAGCTTTAAAATTTACCACAAGGTCACAAGGAACATCTAGAAACATATAAGCCAAGTACAAATGCCATAATACTTTGTCCCAGGACCCCAGCTTGCAGACTAGTGGCATCATCTAGTAGCCAACTCCTGATGGGCTGCTGTGCTTAGGGGGAAGAATTAGGGTTACTTAGGTAGTCAAAAAAAGCCTGCAGAATCTCTGCAATGCCAGTGACTCCTTTTACAAGGCAAACAAGTCCTGTTCATGTAAAACTTCCAGAGATCACAATGGCAGCTTTTCATTCTTACTCTAGACTTTTTTCTTAACACAATAGTCTAAGCAGATAATGAGCTACTTTATTTCTCACAATTTTAGTATATACAAATATTTATTTGTATATATTATATATATTATTATAATATATATTATACATGTATATATGTAAACATATATATGTATATTTCTCAGTGGCCATGTAGTTCCTTTAATTTAAAGAAACATTTTGAAAATAGTCCATTATTTACTGTAAAATTCATCACAAAATGTAAGTGAACTTTCCACCCGATATTAAATTTTTACTCTTGTTTTCAGAGTTGTGTATCTGGCTTCCCCTAAAAGTCTGGGAGAGAGATATGCAAAATGTCTTGAGTTCTGACCGTATGAGTTATTGCAGGCCTAAAATTGAGGGTTTATTTCCCAAGTTTTGGAGAAAGTGTGTCTGAATAATGCTATTCACTATTTTGCATGGCCTATCCCAACATGGGTTTCATAGGACATCAAAAGTGTTCTGTGTACAAAGGACTGCAGGCCAACAATGAGCAACAATGTATAAGGCACAAAGATTTCTTTACTCACACTCTTTTCTGAGGGGACACTCTACTCACTAAGTAACCCCTTAGTGCAAGACACCAGTGTACAACACAAAACACTTCCAAACTCTACCCACTAAGTCTGAATGTCCTCTTTCTTGAAGAACATTTCAGGGAAAGTGCATTCCAGCATTGTCATAGCAATTAAATTTGGGGAAAAAGAAAAAAAAAAAAAGAGTCCCATGGTGGTTTGAATAGGTATGGCCACCATAGACTCCTGTGTTTGAATGCTTAGCCTGTAGGAATGGCACTATTAGGAGGTGTGTGGAGTAGATGCGGCTTTGTTGGAAGTATGTCACTGTGGGGGATGGGCTTTAAGGTCTCTCTTATCCTCAAGCTATGTCCAGTGTGGTAGACAGTTCACTTCCTGTTGCCTACAGCTCAAAATGTAGAACCCTTAGCTGCTTCTCCAGCACATCTGTCTGCATGCTGCCATGCTTCCCACCATGATAATGGGCTGAACCTCTGAAACTGTAAGCCAGGTCTAATTAAATGTTTTCCTTCATAAAAGTTGCCATGGTCATGGTGTCTCTTTACAGCAATAGAAACCCTAACTAAGTCAGATGCCCATGTAAAAGTCAAGATACCAACCTCCCCCCCATAGTGAGTTGTAAATGACTTTTGCTACAGTCTGGATAACATTGTCCCCTACAACTCGGGGCCCATGTATGAATGTATGAAGGTTCTGTGTCCAGGGTGATGCTATTGAGAGGAGGCACCTATAGGAAGCTGGGATCTATAAAACATCGTCCGGTCATGGGAAGCATGACTCTGAAAGGAACTGTGGCCCCTAGTCTCCTTTATTTTTCACTTCCCTACTGTAGGACAAACAGCCCTTTTTGCACATGCTCAAAATAACAGGGGCCAATTTACCACTGACTAAAAATTCCCAAAACTATGCCAAAGAAACATCTTCTTTTTAAGTTATCATTGGTAATTTTTTAAATAGTATAGGTGAAAAAAAACTAACAAGTTTCAACTAACTTCTACTAAGTGAATTCCATGAACACAGTCCACTGCTACATCTGCCACCAAGACAGCCATCCTCGGCAGGCTCACACTGCTCTGGGAAAGCAGGGCTAAGGCCACAGGCCAAAGCAGCCTACACTCCTAGCCCAACTCTCTGGCCATCTCACTGAGCTGCCCATACAGGGTCTCACTATGGCGATTCTGATTTCACAGTGATAGAGTGAGTCCAGAGTCTCACACTTACTAGTAAGTGGTCTGCCACAGAGCCACACCCCTACTTTCTTTTTCAAACAGACACATATAATATCTTTAAATTTCTTCTCCGTCCTATACCCTTGCTTAGTGTTTTCAGGAAATTTATTCTCTCTCTTTCCTTTCTTCCGTTCTTAAAACCTAGGCTGCAGCTTCTCATGCTGGAGAAGTATACAAGTCCTACTGTTTAAATGGTTGCTGAGGAAATGGAAAGCCTCAATCCAGACAGCAGGTCCAGCCAATGCTGCCAAGCACCTAGCCGGTCAATTCTAGCTATTTAATGCCACTCTACAAAATCCAGGGAGACTCTTACTTCTTCAGGCCACTTTTTATTGTTTAAGTTGTGGGGTCAGGATGGTTTTACATCTCTTCATCATATATGTACATCTTGCTAACTGGGTTTTTATTGATTTTTCCCTGAAGACATGGGAGTTACTATGTTCACAGTAAAATTGGAGGCCCAGCTGACCTACAAATGAACCTATTAGTGTGACACAGAATGGGACCAGCAAGACTTCCTTCACTTACTCATACCCATCATGTTTCCTTTCCTGTCAGGAATAAAGAAGCTACCTGTTTCTTTTCATTGTCATTTCCCCTCAAAGACAGGTTCTTGCTAAACTTCTCTGCTGGCCTGGAATTCACTGTTCAGACCAGGCTGGCCTTGAACTTGCAGCAATCCTCTTGTCTCTACCCTGCAAGCACTGAGGTTACATGTATGTGTCATGCACAGCTATATACTGCCTTTTTTTTTTTCTTTTTTTTTTTTTTTGGACAGGTAGTGTCTTTCTACGTAGCCTTAGCTATCCTAGAACTCAGTATGTAGACTGCCTTCAAATTCAGAGATCCACCTGCCTCTGCCTTCTGAGTGTTGAGATTAAAGGTATACATCACCATGACTAGCTTATTATATGCTGTTCTTAACTGTAGTGTGCATTGGGCTACCTTTGACTAGTTATAAAGTGGTATGTATACTTACTACGCAAACAGCCACCCATACTAAAAAGACTGGGCACGATTACAGACAATAAGAAAGGTTAATGGGGCTTAGAAAGGTCTCCTCACACAGCTGCACACAGGCAGGAGATCTGCTCCCTTGTCAAAAAGCCTGACTACAGACTGCCCTGCCTCACACAATTATAGCTGGTCACAGACATGGGAAAAGCTGTTTGGTTGAGTGTCTTTTCCCTGTCATCGTGAGAGAAAATTGTATGGACAAAAGCAAATGGCAGCAACAAAGCTTATTCCTATGGCTTTGGAGTCTGCCAGTCTACAGAGGCTGCTTCCCCTATTACAGACCATAGGGCAGAACAAAGGAAAGCAAGCCTACGGACTGGTCTAAGTTTCACAGCTGGACTTCATATGCAGTGCTCACTTCAGCATGAAAGTGCTGCTGCAGGCTCATCAGTGAACACTTATCTGAGATGCCAAAGTCCGAGCACCTCAGCAGCTCACCAGTGATTGGTGTGCTTTAAGAGATGACATGGGTGTGACTGCAGCTGTAATTAATGGCTTTTGCCATAAGTAATGCTGATATGACTGGCAAACATTTAGGATTTCCTGAGTTAACTGCAATGTAAAAGCCCAAAGAAGTCTTCTATGTGCAACAAAACCCAGCCCAAACCAGGAGAAGAGCATTTATTAGTCAAATATAATTTGACATTCCAGTCAGAGTATGGTAAAATTCTAACACATCAGTTTCTGGAGCAATACCTTTTAAGGCACACAAGCAAACTAAAAGTAAAGCCAGGCCTCTTACACAATGTGTAATTTCTTCATTATGATGGAATGCAACAAAATATCTTGCCCTTGGGTTGCTCCATTTCAGCCAAAACAAATGCAAATGGCTTGTCAGATGACAGCTGCTTGATAAGGCTCCTCTCTAAGACCTGTGCATTTTACTTTTCTCCGTGAAACTTGGGATGAAGGCAGAAGGCAGGAAGAGAATTAATGTAGCATACAGTCTAAAGGCAATGCTACAACCGTGATTAAGTAGAAAAGTTAAAAGGCACAGATTTTCCACAGCTTCGCTGCGTGCAACCCATCCGTGTAACAAGTTGACAGGCCTAGCGCGTCAGCTCCATCATCCCCTCCGACAGCTAAAACGCAGCACTGCATCCCTTTTCAGGGGAAATTTGCGTCTGCACCATGAAGCGTTGTACATTATTTCTTAGCACTGCAGGGGGCTCAAGTCCATATGGAACCTTCACAAATATTACCACAGATCAAACCAGCGGCGTTTGGAGGCAGATTTGACATACCTATTTAAATGAACAGCAGGGGTCCTCGGGCAGCCGCAGGCAGGCTGTGCGCAGGAGCCTCCATGGAAGCTGGAGCACACACAGCCCCATTACTCAGCAAAGACACACTCTACATTTGTCATTCATTTCATTTCTGCCAGGGCAAGAAGCTCATTTGCCCAAGGTCAACAAAAAGCGAAAAGAAGGTTTTCTTTTTTTCCTTAAGAAATAAATGTACCTGACAAAGTGGGGATTTTGTCCTTTGGGTTTGTGAAGCACAAATAAACAGCAGGTATGTCTAAAGGCAGAGGAATGCATGTGGACTCCAGACTCTGACTGTGGATGGGGAAGCCCCATAAATATTTCCATACTTTTAAAACTCACATATGGATAACACAAAACTTGACACCACGTTCTACAAATAAAATGGGTTCTGTCTTTTAAAATGGACACTGGCATCCAACTTTTTCTTCTCACAGCTGTTTTGGGGACCATCCTCAAATTCACACGCTACCAAACAGCTCTCTTTGAAGGAAGTAAAACAAAAACTAGCCAGTATACTCCAAAATCAAAGCGTAATAGGACCTCACTGCTTGGCCTGTGGTTGTGGCCTGGATTCTCTCACACACTGCATTACCTAACGGAAGGCGGAACTTTAACACGGTAACAGAAGCAAAACAGACAGCTGTCTAGAGGTGGACAGAAGGCCCCCCAATCCTACAGTACCTAGCCCCCTGCCCCCTTCAAATGTACACATGAGGATTACTGAGAAGGCCTGAGCTTGTGAGCAAGAGCACTTTCTGGGAAAAACATTCTGATGCAACAGCAGACAGCACAGGAAGCCTTTCACCAGCACTCCCACCTCAACAAGCCCGCCTCTGTCCACTATGAGACAGCTCTTAAGTCTCTAGCATAGTTTTATAGCTTATAAATAAATATACTTACGTGCATTAATGCATAGTATGACTGTTTGCCAGTATAGAAGAGAAAATGAAATGGGCGGCCATCTTCTCCCCACTGGATTGCTAATGAAAACAAAAAACATTCACAGAGATAAACCAAACTGAGAGTCTAACTATAGAATGGGACACATCTGTGATCCAGATTAGCATATCAAAAGTATCTAAACTATCAAAAGTATTCACATTTAAAATTCATGTATTTAGCATGTTTAATATGTAAATGCTTAGGATATTTACTTTTTCATATCAATTAGCATTAAACAATGTCTGTATTTAATATATTATTCTGCTGTGAAGATCTATTTCATTAAATAAAATCTCCTAAGCTAATCTAAATCACTTTGTTAGAGCAAAAATATTCAGGTCCCACATTTTTCAAGTGAAAACTAACCGTCAATAAGTCAGTGAGCGCATTGGGAGACTGGAAGCAGGCCCAGTGAGACAAACACATGTGCACTGGAGAGCCTGCTTACCACATCATTCAGCCCACTCTCATCGTGACCTACCTCTCAGAGTTTAAAGCGGCCACCAACAGAAGGGGCCCCAGGAAGGAGTTATAGCCGGTTCCTTTTGAAATACACAGTTAGCCACTTAAATAAATAACCACAACAAACCGAGAGACAACTCCAACTCTCTTGCCCATCCTCTGCTGTACTTTTGAACTGTTTGCTGACTCCTCTATGTTAAGGACTCTGTTCTTAGGTGGGAGGGGTGGGGCACATGTGTAATCCATACACCTTGGAGCACAGAAGGGGGATCAGGAGTCTTGAGGCTAGCCTAGGTTGTATAGGAAAACATTGTCTCAAGAGGAAAACAAGGGAAAATGACATTCCTAGGTTTACGACATAGCATAAACTATGTTTTCCTGTCTGCTACTTCCTAGAAATTTAATTTACAGTGTCCTTTACAACCAAGGGTTTACAGACTGTATTTCTCACACAGTGGATCTGGTACTTCTTGGCATCATTTGCAGCCCTGTTTTCACTACTGAGCCCACCAAGAAACTTCTTCAGACATTCTTAGCCTGCTTGTCTGGCTCCTCATGCCATGTTCTTACTGCAGATACACCGTACAACTGCTGCGTGCTGTGGGTCTTTGAAAACAGGTTTCCTTCATCTTTCTGAAACCACCTCCATCTCTACAAGAAAACATGCTTTAAAGGCTTTTGGCTAAACTTATTTTCCTCTGGAATTCTAATCACTTTCACATTCGGGTATCCAATGTATCTAGAATTTGTGCTAGTGAGGCAGAACACCATTATTTATTTATTTGTTTGTTTTTAAATAGTAAACATTTTTCTGTTTAAACACCTATACATGCAGGATGTTTTTCTTTTCTGAGTATAATTAGTATCAGACAATGAATACACTTAAAATGAAGGAACAATATTGAATGAGTGTTGAAAAAGTCTCAGCTGAGTTTAGACTGAAAGGAAAAGCCATGTTCTTTTTTTGGTTTTGTTTTTTGAGACAGGGTTTCTCTGTGTAGTCCTAGCTATCCTGGAACTCTCTCTGTAAATCAGCCTGCCTCTGCTTCCTGAGTGCTGGGATTAAAGGTGTGTGCTACCACCGCAAGGCTAGAAAAGCAGTGTTCTTACTAGCTAATGGATTTCAGATGATTTAAATACTTTCCAATGCCATCTCTGGAAGCTCCATTCCTTCCATATTGCCTGGTCCTTGAACCTGCACTATGCAATGGATTATCACTGTACTGTTTGAGTAGTCAGTCAGAAAGTAACTGAAAACACAATCTGACAAGCATCCTGTTATGCTAAGACCACTGTTAAGTTTGGGTATAACCTTGAATCACAGCTCTGTGTGTATCTGTGCTTGCAAATGTAGACTTCATAGCATACCATGTACACATGATATATTCCTGTGCAAATTTTAAGATGAACCATTGTGTATTCTGATATATTGCAAAGCTTATCATACCACAGCGTTCATCAGAGCTTAATTAATAATCAACTTCAAAGTGTATTCTGTTCCTAAAGGCACTAAATTCGAAAAGCTTCAAATTCACAAATTCTGGTCTCAACTTCGCTGACATTTGCTGTTCTCTGTTCACTTGTCTTTCTGTTCTGTACTACCATCACCAGTTTGCTCAACAGAGCTCTCTGTTCCAATAATTAGAGGGAACCATCCTCATTACTCCTTATAAAAACCTTTTACTACTTCTTAACACTTTAACAAAATCTCCCCAGATACCTAAGTATGGTTATTTTGAAATTCTGAAGACAGAACTGGGGTGCAATGGGAAACCTGAAATTCAAAAACCAGTCCAGGTAACCAGCAAGGAGATGGCTGGGATACAGTGACACTGTGCTTTTCTAAACTCAGGGAGGGCCTGGCTCTCCAGTATGGGGAGGGAAAAGGTAAGGAGAAACTTGGGGTTATTACCTTTCTTTCCTTCTTTTTTGCTAGCCAGGTTTTCACTTAAGGTCTTTAGCTGAATTTTATATGAAAATCCTGTCCATGTTCATAATTCCAAGGAGAGCTTGATGCTGTTGGTACTAGGCCCTTCCCTTTTAGTTCCCTGTCATAGATTTCAACCAATGCAGTTAAGCTAAATTATACAAGTAACATATTACTCTCCTAAAGATTAACAGTAAGGGGGGGGGTGGCGGCGGCGCAGGCCTTTAATCCCAGCACTCGGGAGGCAGAAGCAGGTAGATCTCTGTGGTTCAAGGCCAGCCTGGTCTACAAAGCTACCCTGTCTCCAAAAACCAAAAATTAAAAATAAGGATCCCTTAGCTAGGGGCAAGGTGAGAGTTATTTCTAGACTCTTTTGTGTACTCATGTATGAATACTTGCAGGAAAGAACATTTACCTAGTTATTGTCACTGTGGCTTGTATTTGCTTTTACAAAAATTACATCTAATTACTGATCTTGGAGATCATCATGGTGTAGTATGGATGTGTCAGAGAAAAAACTGTGGGAACCCATTCTCTGCTTACCCCATGAGGGTCCTACACTTGAGCCAGTATGTCAGAGTTGGTGGCAAGGGTCTTTACATGCTGAGCCATCTTGCTGGCTCTACTGGTTTTGGTATTAAACAGGGTCACATACGGTGAGGCCTGCAGTTCACCACATAGTGCAGGCTGGCCCTGACCTTCACCCTTCTGCATGCACTGTCATACGATGTGACTGCTTTTTTATAAACACACATAGCATTCTATTGTAGTTACACTATACATTACAGCACATTTTAGTTGTTTTTCCAGCCCAGCTTCATGAGCCAACACAATATTTTTACCACCTGTATGATGATGTGACTCTAACAGTTGACTCAGGAAGTCAACTGTTATAATAATATAGTTAAATTGTTTATATATAATATATATAATATATATAATATATATATTATATATTATAATATATAATAGTATAATAGTATAATATATATTATAATATATAATATAATTATTATATTATAATATAATAAATAGTTAAATTGTTTCTAATAAATATTTCATGATACTTATACTTCCTAACCCTTAAGCTGAAAAAAATGAATAGCCTCTTGTTATTGTTTTTTTATAGGGCATTATCTCTGGTCTTGGATATTTTAAAATGTTCGCTGGCTTCATTTATTTTTTTCATGTGCAAAGCTGCATGATATTCTTTGCTTATTTTTCCACTGAGCCTTTTTTTTATTAATATTTTGATTAATTTGTAAGAGTAATTTATTTTAGAAATCAAGCCCTTATACTTCAGATTTTATGGTATCTTTTTGTCAAAGAAAAGTTTTTATTGTGAAAACAATTTATTATTTTTGTCTTTCTGTTTTTTTTCTTGTGTGTGTGTGACTGTCATTTTGATAGCTGGGGCTAGAGATGGCTTAGTGGTTAAAGACATTTGTTGCTCTTATGTAAGACCAGGATTTGATTCTCAGCACCCACATGGCAGCTCTTAACTGTTCTTCTGGCCTCCATGGGTATTGTACGAATGAATGCCCCTCTTTCTGTAGCCTAGAATGACCTCAAACTCCCGACAATCCTCCTGCTTCAATCCTCTGAGTTCTGGGATTGTAGAGGTAAGCCACCAGCTTTGGCTCAGGAATTTGGCATATAATGTTGCCAGTGTCTCAACCCAAATTTCATCATCAGGTACATCTGTTTTGTCAATATTCTTTAAAAACAACACAAATTTTTACCATGTCTACATACATATGGAAACATATATTAGTATGGTTGGACTCAGTATTTTTAAGGTGGTCTCCTCAAAGAGAAAGGTAACAATTCATGGGCTGTTAGTAAGACCAGTACCACATCCAATCCAAAGTGATTTTCTTCCTTGTGTGGTTTTGGCTAATATGATATCACTGGGTGGCAAGATCCTCAAATATTACCACATGATTTCACATTTCGCCCTTTAACTCTTCTTTGGTATAAGCACTTTTATAAGACATGATTTAAAAATTTCAGAATTCAATTTTAATATTATGAATTCAGATACCAAAATAAGAAATTTCCAGTAATGCTCTAATATAGTTTTTCATTTACATTTTATCAGTTTCTCAACCATAATCTAAGAAGAGTAACTGAATTTCCTGGTATCTTTGTTGCTTGTTCTGCAGTGCTGAGGATTGGGCCCAGAGTCTTGCACATGCTAGAGAGATATGCTCCATCACTGATCTACAGTCATAGCTTCGTCTCCCATGATCTTGAATTTGCCACAAGGTCCTGGGTGCCATTAATTTCCCTAATTATTTGATTTGGACTTATACTCTTTATATATGTGTATGTAGTGCAGAGGATGGAACCTCAGACATGCTAGGCAAGCACTCTACAACTGAGCTGCATAAACTCCTAGTCCTACGTGTATTTTTTAAAATTATAATGGTTAAGGCTTCCAAATAACTGCTGATAATTGATGTATGGTATTTCTGAATGCAATGGGACTTAATGATACATTTAAAGATTTGATGTTTGTTTTCTCATGAAAAGTCGTACTCAAACAAGAATGCTTCTTTACATTTCTAGCTGAAACCTTTTTTACCAAATATAAAAGGCTCCATTTTGTTAATTGTTTTCTCTATCTAAATGTTTTCTCCTTGAATCAAAAAAGAATTACACTAATACACTGATTAATGTTAAGCCATACTTAAAATTCTGAGAAAAATGCTCTCTAGTAGTCTCTTAAAATGCTGTATTTATGTATTCAGGAGGCAGAGGAAAGTGCATCTTTCTGAGTTTGAGGCTAGCCTGGTCTATAAAGCAAGTTCCAGGTTAGCCAGGGCTATATAGTGAGATCCTGTTCTCCTAGGGGTAGGGATAAGGGGTGGAGATTTTTACTTACTTATGTGAGTCTGCAAGTAACTCTAGAAGCCTTTGTTCTTTTTTATTTTATATATAACATGCTGTTACTTCAAGGCATAATAGAACTCTTTATTTTTTCAGTAAACCTGATGACCTGTGGCCTGCCTGGCTTTTAGTCTACCCAGAATTTTCCTGACTGAGGTAACTGTGGCAATTAAATTACTCTTTAAGCGATGTGTCTGAGAGTGCATGGTCACACATTTGCACCACAAGTCATTACTACCTGGGCCAAACTACATGCCCAGCCACTTCTGTCTGTGTTTCCTTGGAAATTAAAAATGGGGAAAATAATAGTTTGTGCTTAAAAACACTGTTGTGAAAGTTTCAAGATAAAGCAAGAAGCACTTAGAACTGTGCCTGCCTACTCTGAAGTTCAATATATGCTACTGTTATTACTTGGAAGAGTTTTCAGGTTAGCATGAAGTTACTGTCTTATACTCAGACCATAATGGCATAGCTATCTATGTCCTCACAGTAGCCTCTGAATGCCTCCATTTGGAAGTGTTAATACTGGGCAGCAAACACAGCTTTGTGGTAAAGCATTTGTCTGCCTAGCATACAGGAGGAAACCCAAGGTTCAGTTCAACCAAAAAAAAGTAATAATAAAAAGCCTTCTCAAAGGTTATAGCCACTCTTCATTTGCCACTATATTCATCAATTTAAGTTTTCTTTTACTTTGTCTTTCTCAATTACTAATGACATGTGTTTGTGTTTGCATGATGTAATGATTATATTCCATAGGACTTGATGGGAACTTTCAAATACTTCCAAATAGTGTGTAATTTCAAATTTGATTCTTTAATCCAACAGCAATACAGTTCTATTGATTTTAAGTCAGAAAATCTAACTGACATAACTTCTACTCTTAGAACTTTTTTTTCTCAATGTTTCACTTCACCATGCATAATTAATTCTATTACTCTTCCGTAGTCATCAGCATAGAAAACATTCTTTGGGTTTGTGTCTACAACTACAAAACCATGATGCATTATTTGAATTCTTTAGCCTTACTTAACAGTCTCGCTCTCTAACCTGCCAGTGCTAAGTGTTTGGTACAGAAAGACTCAAGGTCATCAAGTCCACTTACTGGACAACAGCTGTTATCAATACAAATTAACTTTCTTGTCTCACTGAACCATTCCCCAGCTTCCTCCAATTCCAGGCTATCAGTGCTCCTTCTTGGCTCTGTCATCAACTTGGTATGTATCTTCATTTTCCCCAATATTTTTACCACTTTCCAGGACAGGTGTTTTATAATAATTAAATCTAGAAGCTTTCAATAAGCCAAGTGGTAGTATATAGTATATAGAGCCATAATCTCTCCAAATCTTAAGTTCATTGCTATTTTTCTCAATTCTACAAACTGGTTTATCCTATCCAAACTACAATAAAACTGAGCAGGAAGCAGAATTTCTTCTATTTCTAAAGGAACACTGTTAAATACACTTAACTGCAAGGTCAGATGATTCTAGAAATACTGGCTGTATTTTCAAAATCATACATGGACACTTTGCAGGACTAGCCTGAAGCGCTGGTTTAATATTCCAGGTGCTAGTAATAATGAACTCATAATACTGAGCAAATGGTATGATTTGAAGGAAACAAGAAGCCTCAGAGGGCAGAAGAGACATAACTTGTAGAGATGTACTAAGAGAACTAAGAGATAGAGAGGAACTGGTGAGAAGCCTTAGGAGTTGGAGAAAAGAGAAGTCAGTAAAAAGGGGAAGAACAAATTGTTGCTATTCCAAACATTTATCAGAAAAGAAACCAGTACAAGTTAACTCTGCTCATGCAGATGATTGGACTATAAATGACACTGTATCTTCAAACTTGGTGTGCACTTGCATATAACATTCATTCATTTTCCCCCCCAATTTTGAAATGAATGTTTTGTATGTTATAACCAATCATATCTAAGAATTGAGAATAGGAAACATAGGGCACATTTAGAAATATATTTAAAATATTTGTAAAAATCTAAAATAAAAGTTCCTTCAAAGAGTGAAGGGAGGGTCTGAGAGATGGCTCAGTGAGTAAAACACTTGCCACCAAGTCTGATGACCTGAGTTTTTCAGCCCTGGGACCCACATTGTACAAGCAGGGAATCAATTACTCCAAGCTGTCTTCTGACTTACATGTGTGCGTTCCTACTAGTCCCCCCCCCCTTTTTTCTCTCTCTCTCTCTAAGGTATTCAAAAAGAGTGAAGTTGAGGCACTAGTCCCCCCCTCTTTTTTTTTCTCTCTCTCTAAGGTATTCAAAAAGAGTGAAGTTGAGGCACCAGGACAGAATGAGGCTTAAGCTGAGTGTGGCCTGGGGACACAGGCCTATGACTCCATCTACACAGGAAGCTAAGGCAAAGAACTAGAAGAACAAAAAGGCTTAACACTCTATAGTAAGTATAAATATGTTTCTAAAGGAGGAGAAACAAAGACTTCACACAAGCAAGACCTATACCCACAAACTCTTCCTTATAGATAGAAGCTAGTGCAATGCAGAATGCAAGTAATTAGTGTGATATTAACAGACAAAATGGTTAACTTGATCTAACTTTCATATCCTACCAAAATCTGCACACCCTAGCCACTCATTATTATACAGAGTACTTCTGACCTACTTCACATCCAGTGAGACAAAACTCCTGATGTGTAACCCAAAACTGGAGTAAAGAAGAAACAAAATGAGCCATCTCAGTCTTGAGCAACCTTACCTCTTTGTTTTGGAAAAATTTGTTCAGGATGCTGTAAAATAAATGTAAAGTGTTATTAGGCAACCTCTATACCACATAAAAGACATTCTTTAACAAGTAGTTAAAATTACCTTCATTATTGGCCTGGCTTGCTTCTCAAACAAACCACTTGGAAAGAGGTAAGCAATAGCTCTCTGAAAATACATACAAAGGTTAATTAACAACTGTTATAAAAATATGTTCAATTTATAACCAAGATACTTACTGTATACCAGACACTGAGCTAGAGTTTTGTATGCATTGTCAGTTCAAATGGCAAAGCACAATTACTAAACATATATTCCCCAAACAAAAAGAAAACAACAAAATGTGCAGCCATTAACCTGGCTATAGACAATTTTCAAGTGTCAACCTCAAACTAGAGGTGCTCTTTCATAAACCCTGTGCCACTGTGCCAGGTAATTGTTCAACCCCAGGCCAGGGCCAAACATTGCAACTAGCAGGCTTGTGTTTCATTCACTGTGACATACTGGAGAGAATCAGTTTACAGGACAGATTCACCTTGGTTCATCATTTCAGTAAGCTGTGCCGGATCCACTGCTTTGGTTTTGAGCCAACACAGATCCACTGCTTTGGTTTTGAGCCAACAGACTTATCGGGAAAGTGTGGCAAGCTTTTTACCTCATGGTGGCCAGGAAGAAGAGAGAAACAAATAAAGGGCTGGGGACAAGGCTTGCACTTCTCTGGCATGCCCCAAAGGACTGACTTCACCTAGCAGGCCCCAGCCTCCAAGAGTCCTATCATCTTAAACAGCACTCAGATGATATAGAGCTCTCAACACATGGACCTGGAAGGCAGAGCATTCACCATGGCCCCCTTGGTATTTTTAGGTGATCTCTTAATTTGCCTTACAGTTCTAAGGACTGAACATGGACCCTCACTCACAATGAACACGTATTCTACACTGATCTACCCTGGTCCTGGTGAGTTTTAAAGTATGCTTTTCAAACAAGTCCTCCTGTGCGATTCTCACAAGGAATGAGGCTGACCATGCTTAGTCAAGCACCACTGCAGTGTCTCCTCTCATGCAGGTCTCGGAACTCCTGGCTTACTCGAAATTTCAGCCCCCGCCCCAGGACAATTTGAACATCAACAAGAATGACAATACCCTAAAGCACACTTAATGAGTGGCTGTACATATATATATGTCAGTCTAGTAGGCAAGTACACATACACACTGGAGTGAGGGGCAAAGAAAAAAGGAAACCCACTTAACAGAACAGTACTAAGTATAAAAGTAGAAGAGATGGCATAGGCAGAAAGCCCATCACTTTACAATTTCCAAGCTAGTCATAATTCAGGCAAAGATCACAAAGGCCCTGGCTGACATGCCATCAGGGACCAGAAAACTCAGACTCAAATATTACCCTCCTGTGTTAGTTATTTTTCTATTGCTGTGACAAACACCACGACAAAGGCAACTTATTTTGGCTTACAGTTCCAGAGGAATAAGTTCATCACCATCCTTGGGTGGAAGCATGGTGACAGTCAGGCATGGCAAATAGGGCAGCAGCTCAGAGTTCCTATCTTAAACCACAAGCATGAAACAGAGATCAAACTAGTGTTTTATCACTTGATGCCCCACCTCCAATGATATACTTCCTCCAACAAGGCCAGACCTAAGCCTCTCAAACAGTGCCACCAACTGGGCACCAAGTATTCAAATGCAGAGACTGTGAGGAATATCTCATTCAAACCTTCAGCCTCTAGATCACTTGCTAGGGACAAAGGAAAAGGGTACTTTCACAAGAGCTCCAGTGTGACTACAAAAGACAAAGGACAATTTCACCAACAGGGGAAACTATGTCCTCTCAGGGTGAAGCTGTACTGGTGTCTGTCAGCTGAGGACTGCCTTCATCCGCTCTAAATCTGATCATGAGGAGGCAAGCACAACTCCAGAGAGAGCAACAACTGCACAGGTGGTCTAGAATCTGAAATACTAAACAACCAGGGGCGATCTGGAAAATTTAAATATAGACCACTTACATAAACGACAGTATAGAATTGCTCTATTAGAAGTAACAATTGTACTGTGGGAGATAATGGCTTGAAGGGTATATATTTAGGTGTTTTACTGGTATGCTTAGGAGTTAAGCTTTGTGAAACCTGATTTCCGATGGACCAGTCAAAATTTTTCTACACAGAGGCAAAGGAAATATGGAAAATACTGTCAGATTTATCTATGTGAAGAGCATATAAGCATTCAAATTTCATGGAAATGTGAAACATTTCCAAGTTAAAAAGGTAGGAAAATATGTCAGAAACTTTTAAATAATACAGACTTTCTCACATTCAACCTATCTGAAGAAGGCCATCTCTAGCCTATAGCATCTACAAGGCCTTGTCCACAGAGCAACTCCAAGGTTGTCAGCAAGGTCTAGGTTAGAAGAGCACACACTGGCACAGAAGACTATGCATGCCTGTCAGCTCCTAGGCCATTCATCCTCCAATGATCATCAGGCTATTGCTGGCATCATTTGAAAGCATGAAGCTGACTAACTCCTGTGATCATGGAATAACCCTAAAGGGAAATGCAAATGTAAGAATCCAAACTTTTATATTTCTTAAGCATGATGCTAAGCCTTGAAAAAATCATGAGAAAATTACCTGGAGAGGGTGGTTAGAAAACAAAAAGAAAATCACTGCAACAATGGCTAGGATGCAAACAATCTCTTCAAATACAAAAACAAGTGAACAAAGAACCTGCTGGAAATATTCTGAAATTCAATCAAAAGGTAGATCTAACTTAAAGAGAGAAACCCAATGTTATAATCTAGTTAAAAAATAAAAAAGGGAGGGAATGGATAAAAATAGAATGAGAGCAGTAAATAAAAGAAGCCAGTTGTTTGTAAATCAAGTAAGAATATATCTCAAACAGAAAAGACGGGTTCTCAGCATGCTGCCTGCATCTGTTTAGTATGCATGGGATAGTACTGACATGACCTAACCTATTACTTCCATTCATCTCCTATGGGCATTCTATGTAGATTTTTTTTTTCATAAATTCCGAAGCAAACAAAGGACTCACTGGCTTTACTGAAAAAATAATTTTCTTGCTTTCTGGGTTCACTGAATTCCCAGTTAGCACACAGTTGTTAAAATGTAAGTGAATGCATTGTTAAAATAGATAGTGAATAAATAAGAACAAGATTTTTCATTAGTGTTGTGTTGAACAGTCTACAGTATGTTTTGGGCAGACCCCTAGGTGTTATAAACAGGAAAGCCTTGACTACACTCCACTGCAGAGAAAGGGAGCGGTGAACAAGAGCAGGATGGAGACATGAGCACAGAGGCTATGTGCTTCACCATCACTCTAGGAATCTGATTGCTGGTTGTGGAATTAAACAATATACTTTAAAAAGGCCTGCTAAATGGGCACTTAGTAAATGTTATATAAACATAAAATTTTCAGTTTATAGAAACTATATTATCCTCATATTATTTTAAGAATAAGACATGTATTTATTAACTCTATTTTACAGATGAATCCTTAATTAAGTAACAATACACAATCCAAAAGTACCTTGATTCAGAACTGAAACCTGAGATTGAATTCTGGAATATCCTCTTTCAGATTACAAAGATTTACTTATTTTCTGGCTTAAAAGGCACACAACTATTTAGCAGTAAAATTAAGAAGAAAATTCCCAAAGAAATAAAGTTTTATTTAACTATTTACCCCAAACTGATTCTAGGCACTTGACAGGTTAGAAAGAAGAATAAGACATAGCCTCCAACTTCATTCTGTCAGGAGACAAAGAATCTATAGTGTCAGATTCAGGCACTGATGTATAAAACAGACTAAAACCAGGCAGTGGTGGTGCATGCCTTTAATCCCAGCACTTGGGAGGCAGAGTCAGGCTGACCTGAGTTTGAGGCAAGCCTGGTCTACAGAGTGAGATCCAGGACAGTCAGGGTGGTTACAGAGAAACTCTGTCTCAAAAACAAAAACAAACAACAACTAAACAAACAAACAAACAAAAAACAGATTAAAATAGAGTGGTCAGTTCAGTTACTATTACAACAGCACTTCCCATCTGGTTTTCTTACCAGTCAGTCCCTCCTCTAAAACAAGGACCTGTGCTTATTGACTGTCTGACACACTACAGCTCCTACCCCTTTATACACCTAGGACATTCTCCAGAAATAGATCAAGCGAAGCCCCTGTACACCCAGGGCTCCAAGTTACTTTCCCCTGTTTTATGGAGTGCAATGCTCTCCACATTCTGCCATGCTCTGCTACTTCTGTCAACGAAAACCTGACTGTCTTCTTCCCATCCTGCTGCTGTCATCAATTTACGGCTATCACAAAGGGTTCCTTAATGCAAACTGCTGTCACATTTGTGAGCAAATTAATATGAATGGGTCATCTAAATTAGACTGTACAAGATATGGTGGCATCCAGGCCAATATTTAATTCTCAGTTCCCAGCCCCAACCCTATCCTTAGATGTACTCATCTACTTTCTGTAACAGCCCCCTTTCCGGAGACTTCTGTCCAGACTCACTAGTATCTCAATCCTGCAACTGCTTCAACACCATGAGCAAGACAACTTATAGAAAGAGCTTATTTGGGTCTGTCACGGTAGGAAAATGTGGCAGCAAGTGGCAGGCACAGTGACTGGAGCAGGAAGATGTCTTGAACTGCAAGCACAAAGCAGAGGGTGACTTGAAATGGTGAGTTTTTAAATTCCCAAAGCCTGTCTCCAGTGATACACTTCTTCCAGCAAACTGCATCTTGTAAGCCTCCCAAAATTTCATAACTCTCTATCTCTGTCTCTTTATTTATTTTTTGGTTTTATGACAAGAGTTTCTCTTTGTAGCCTTGGCTATCCTGAAACTCACTCTGCAGACCAGGCTGACCTGGAACTCACAAGAGATCCTCCTGGCTCTGCCTCCCGATTGCTGGTATTAAAGTGTGTGCCACCACCGCCTGCTCATAACTATCTTTCTAAGCAACCTACACTCAAGATAATTACTTAAACTTAGAAATACCTAACTTTCCGGATAGTACCACTTGTACCCACTACCATACCTGCCCAAATAGTTATTTCAAATAAAGTAGTTATTATAGAGATTAAATAACAAAACTAGTTGAGGACAGAAAGCTTTGTCAATTAAAATTCTTAATTTGG